TATGCTGCTGGTTCTGTTTTAATTAAGACTAAAATTTCCAGATTTTATCTTAAACAAGGATCACCCACTCCCACCAATCTAATGGGGAGAGTTAAGACAATATGGGAACCATGTGTGTTCCAAGCAAGACCCTCTGTCCCACTTTAAAAGGTTGCAAATGGGGATATGGGTGTCATTCTGTTTCTTTTGTGATGCACATTGCTGGTGCCAAGTTTGAAGAACACTGCTTTAATATTTCTAGAGTTATTCTCGATTGAGTGTTGTGCTGCTTTAGAGGAACCACCAATGACGTCATCACTTTCCTCATTTGCATAATACAAAAACGTGATTAATTATCTCTAAAACGAAAAATGACATTCCAAAAAGGAAAACGCCATTCCTCTTTACTTTGAAAAGCCTTTCACTTAAGCAGGAATTATTTTTTACTTCATAGGCACTTTAAATCATCTGTAACTCAAATTTTATTTGTAATGGTCACAAATTCTCTAAGACTGTATAGATTGAGCAAAATATAATATAAGTTGGGAATTTACAATGAAAATAGGTACTAAAATAACGAGCGCGCTGACGACGATACAACTCACTTTTGTTTAGACATTAATGAACGCAGAGATGGAGCACGGAAACGCAGCTGGAACGCGCGTTGCATTAACACGCAGGGCCCTTACACCTTGCTTCTAAAAAAGAGGTCTGCTAACCTCTCTCTTTAACTCTAGGTATACCAAAGCAGACAGCTCTAATTGCGTTGACAAATTCCCATTTGAACTGGCCCCCTACAGTCTCTGTTTCTGTAAAGTGGCTAAAGTGAATTCTTACCTCAAGGATCGTAACGCCAGTATGCCAGTCACCGGGTTGCATATTGTACCGTCCCAAGCGATCCCCCGGGGTATATCCATTTCACACAGAATGAATACGGTTGCAGCCCTCACAATAGATAACCAGTCACCGACTCAAATTTGGTGAACAAACTTCCTCTCACCGATAACTCTCGCAAGTGAGAGGTAGGACTGAAATTTCTTGAGGATGTCAATCATGTCCTCTGTGACATTTTCAGTTTTGAATAGCACACCCATGGATAACTGAAAATAGCGTTAAAAATTAGTATTAAATCCCCCGTTAAATTTGGAATCTCATATTTCATTCCTATGCCAACCTATCATATACATTAATAAAAATCTCAAGTACGTTTATGACAACTTTTTTTCACTGAAATGCAATTACAATGAAAACGTGCGCTGGCTAAAAGTTTCATAACACAACATGAGCTTTCGGCTGTCGATCTACAGCCTTCGACGGATAAAAAATGGAATGCAAAATGATAAAATGTATGCAAGAAAAGGCGACATAAAAATAATAAGAAGAACAAAAGCAAAGTAAAAATGTGTAAATTGGGTGACTATTGTTTAAAAAAAATACTATACTGGTTTGGAATCGGCTTAGAATTATTGTCAGCATGCTCGGTGGTGTGCCAGGCCTCCAAAGTTTTTCTAATGGGAAAAGAGCCTTTGTCGATGACACTAGAATTATCAAAATCTACTCGATGATCGAATGACCGTGCATGTTTGGCAATTTTTGATGCATTAGCACATGTTTTGACTTTTCTGAT